ACACATTCTCACCTACATTGTATGCATTATGAGTTTGTCAGCGATCAGTGAAGCTCGCTTTACGGTATCTCGCTGTACGGTGATAGTGGTGAATGCGGTTGACGGTCATTGGTGCTCCTCGCGACGACCAATGCAATACTGAATCCACTTTAATGTGTTCCTCGGAGCTCCATGAGTGGTAGCGCTGGGAATCCAACCACTAAATGGGAGGACGATTAGACATCTCAACCAGAACCAAGATGGGACGAAAAATTGAACACCATTCTGAGGCAAAGTGTAAGCCCATCTACTTCGATCGATCCTTCCTTCCATTTTTATCGGCTGAGACGCAAACTGAAATCGAGCCCCCAACCTGGAGGGCCAAGAGGTTGACGTTTGTCTGCCATCTCCCCTTCAACCTTCCAATCACAATTAGATCTTCGTCTTTACGAATCCGTTCTGTGTAGCTCGTTGAGTCAAAACTGTGCTCGACGTCACAACTTCAAGGTGCGGTCCCATCTGGACGGGGTTAAATTTGTCAATTTAGGTTGGGGTAAACATGGCACCAAAGTGGATTTCATGTTGACTTTTGATTTGTGCAAACTATAGTACGATTCTTGATAATATCGTCGCTTGTATTTTATCATTACTTTCAGGTCTCTTGTATGAAATCCGGTTTGCTTCCTCTCTGTCACGAAGCCATGATCCTGGGTGAAATAGCTTATTACACTCCATCTAGTGTATTTCCTGGTCTTGGAAATGGCGATCAGACCGCAGACGGTGAACATGATCAACTGAAAGACTGGAACGCGGAGCGTATAGCTGTAGCTGAAGCTCTGGGTCCTACTGCACGGGTCCTTTTCCTTCGCAGTCGCGGGTTGCTTGCTCTGGGAGAAACTGTTGAGGAAGCGTGGCACTATGCTACAAACGCAGTGGTTGCGTGTGATACGCAGGTAAGCTGTTTCACGAGATTATCTTATATCTACGATAAAACTTTTTGTGTGGGGAAAAACCTGAAGCATGCTTTGTGTTTAGTTGCCTCACGAACGAGGAGCTCATAGCCCTTGATCAGTGCTTTGATTTTAGCGTGTTCCGCACCGGTTTTCAGTTACTACCGCAGCTGTCAACGTTTTCTCCAATCTGATCGTGTCAGCTGAAGCTTATTTCCTTCGTTTGCTAATGCCGTATCTCAAACAATGTGCAATCCTATCGTAATAAATGAATATGCTGGTGCAATTTGTCTTTCCGCTTGCAGTTGTTGCTGGCATCCTTGGGTGTTGATAATCTGGTTTTGCCTAATGATAAACTAAAGCAGAAGGTATACGAGACTTGAAGGACTTCCGGGTTGGGTGGACTGAGCGGTCTGGAA